TTGTACCACGCAGCAAAGTCGGCAAGCGTGACCCTCTCCATTTCAGTTGGGCGTTTCGTGTAATGTACCAACAGACCATGCATGAAGCAGTCGCCTGAAGCAGGATCAAGATTGCAAAGCTCATGCTGTGGTTTAACAATTCTCACACGCTCATTTGGCGGTGACGTTTGTATAAAGATTACCTGCTCGCTACTGCATGACATGGGCAGCTGCAAGATGTTGTATGTAGCTTCTTGAACTGAAATTTCGGTGCTGTTGTAATGGACACTGCTGATACTTTGCATTGCTTCACGCAAATTATTTCGTTTACGTAGCTCCTTCACCATTTCTTCAATTGTTGTGCGAACTCCTCGGTCGGACTTATTGATGTAGTCAATAACATAGGATTCGCACGCGTATGGGTCGAGCACGTACTGCAGGTCCATGTTGGACCTCATCGTGGACAGTATTTTCGGCGAGTATGGGTTGATCATTACATCCGAAGGAATACGGCGCAGGAAAACTTTGCATCTTTGTAGTTCAGCCCTTATTGCTGATAAGTATTCTTCGTCTGTAACTTGGCATCTTCCAAGAAACTCATCAAACGTAATGTTCTCTACCATTTCGTCCTCCGTCAAAACACCTTTTATTTGCTTTAGCACTTCTGCAAAGCGTTCACGCTCTTGCACGTCAGTGTTCTTTGCCAGTAGTCGTAGAATTCGGGTGTTACGCACTGGATTTATCAAATTCGACAAGAATAAGGTAAATGGCGCGGCTGATGCCGCAAGAAAAGTTAAAGTTGGTGAAGTTGGTAATAGGCTATCACCGCAAAAGGACTTTACTGTTGTCGAAGAAAATGAAGTGATTGTCGTCGTGGGAAAACTTTATTCTTGTTGATGTTGGTAAATGGTGCAGCTGATGCCGCAAGAAGACTTCCTCTTAAAAATATAAGGTTGAAGACGCAACTGGCGCCGCTTTCGGGCCTGTTGTGCGCAGGAATTAAAAGCAGTTGAGTATGAGGAAGTTTTGGGCGCTCAGAAGGCACCAGATACGCCTCTGAATTCGTGCTACTTCAACGTAGCCGATGCCGGTAGCACGAAATATTCTTCTTGTTCTCTTCAATTCACCGAGACCCAGCAGATGCTGTCCTACTGGGGTAAAAATACTTTGAACACATGATCGACAAAATCCAATTTTATTTCACCTCAAATTTGAGTTACTAGTGCATAAATGGAACATTATAAAATGATACATATAAACTACACAAGGCATCCTAATAATGCGCCTCCTAACAATGCATTCCATAAAAATTCCCCGCTTCTAATTTTATTATCAAAAACACCCTGTATCAGACTTAGAAGGAATGGAAGTACAAAGAGTAGGGGAGATGGGTGGAGGAAGGAGGGGCCGAGACAAAGAGGTCGAGGTCAAACAGGGAATTAGGAGGAAGGTAGGAATGAGACCAAGTGCGACGGGTGGAGGAGGGGGGAGGGGAGAAGGAGAAAAACAAAGAAGAGCAAAGGAAAGAGGAGAGGAGGAGAGGGCAAAAAAATGAAGGCAGGGCAGCAGGCTGCGCCCCGCTGCCGGAAAACATACGTGATAAGGGAACCGCGCTTGCTTTCTTCGCCCGCGGTTGCTCAAACACGGTTTTTGGTAAAGCTCAAAACGTTTCAGCACTCCAGCTGTTCTGGTTGCAGAGTTGCGTCAAATTTCACGTGTTAGTACATGAGCGGCAATGTGAATGGTTTCTTTGCCAGCAGTTACTCGAACACGGTCCTCGGTAACGCTCAAAAAATTTCAGCACTCTAGCTGCTCTGGTTGCAAACTTACGTCAAATTTCACGTGTTCGTACGTGAGTGGCAACGTGGATGCCTTCTTCGTCCGCGGTTGCTCAAAAATAGTCCTGGGTGAAGCTCAGAAAGTTTCAGCACTCCGCCGCCGCTCTGGTTGCAGAGTCACGCCAAATTTCATGTATGTATACGTGAGACTTACGTGACGCGTGAAAGTAATGTGTAAGTTGCTTTTGCGTGCACTTGGTCAAAGGTCACCGTCGGTTATGCTCGGAAAGTCCAGGTTCTTTGCCTGGTTCAATTCTGAAGTTAAAAGCGCGTACATGAAATTTTCACGTGTTCGTACGTGAGGTGCAGAAGAGCTGACAATTAATTTACTTTCGCAAGCACAACAGTAGGCGACAAGTAACGCTGCAAATCGCAACTCTTTG